AATACAGAACGGAGACCAGTAAAATAATGTAATATGATAGTTTATTATCGGCTTATTTTCCTTGGTAAACATAGTAAACTGAGTTGTTCGAGTGAAACTAATAATTTTGACATATCTTGTGCTTTCCACTTAATACCCATTTATAATATATGTATTTCTGATAAGTTTGAAGGTAATGAACCAAACGAATTTAGTACGAATATTGTGCAATTATTCGTTTATCGAGTAGCAAAATACGTTATATTTTTCTGATAAATTTTGAATTAATTTTAATGAAATGTTCTCTGAAAACGTTATTTTTAAATATCAATAAGATTACCTCGAATCTGAACTTAATGATGTAATTATATTATACTACATTAGGCATAATATGACATTTAAATATTTTATAAAGCTACGTTCTAACTTCTTATATACGTAGGCAGTATATGTGTAGTAGGTACAATAAAAAACAATAAAGCAACTGCAATTAGGCACAATTTAATTACTACAATTGTTTTGTATGAAATAACCGGGCCATGCAAAGTGTCAACGCGTCAAGCTAACATACGTTTTCAAACAAAGCGCTCAGAAAATGTAATATTTATAACGTGTAAGTATGTAAATGTAAAAAAAAATGTTGGTTATTTATTATCCTAATTTACAACATCATAACTATTTTAATGTATCTTATTAGCATTGAATCTACTTACAATTTGTAAAACAAAATAGAATATTCGTACAAAATTATGTTTGTGGTATATGCAAGTTTTACTTAAATATGTAGTGATATTTTCATTCATAAAGTTGGTTTGAATTAAATTTTACTTTCTTTTTATTTTATTAACCTTTATTGGTACCTTATGTGACACCTTGTTGAAAGTTAGCAAATTTAAAAAAAAAAATATTTTGTTTTACGTGACAGAAGGTTTTTGTTGGAAAAGATATTGCAGAATAGATTTGAATAGAAGGTATATAAATAAAGGTTTTAGTTATATAATATTAAATTATTAGCTAACATAAATGAAATTTTGTAAGAACATTATACACCTTATTTTTAAAAACATATACTTAAAAACTATTACGTGTAGTTTGCAATTCAAATTAATGTATTTTATGTTTATTTGAAACAATTTCGTGATAAATCAATTGTCTAGTTACTAACTGTGTCGCACACGATATATTTATTATTGATGGGGCAAATATCTACCCTATTAAGGAGACATATTTATATTATATTATTTCACATTTAAATTTATTAAACGAAATCTGGTGTAATACTCGAGTGAAATCATATTTGAGTGGATTTCCTGCCCTATCTAACGCAGCGTAGTTTCTGCTAAAGAGCTTTAAAACAAGTTTAAATAAGTCTAATAGATGAAAAGCATGCACTATACTGGACCTTATAACGCTGAGGCTCAATAAAAATATACTTATACTTCGAGCGATTACAATCTGGTAATGGTAATAATGTTCAAGTATTTACTTATTTTTTAATGACTTTGCAGCTGTTATGAAACGTTGCCAAACTATAGTATACCTTACTTGACCCCAAAAAGCCGCGTCTCAAGAACTTATCGAGACGATTAAGAGGCGTGAGTTAGGTAAAAGGGGCGAAGACAACCGACAAAATATTAAAAAAAAATATACAAAGTATTTGTCCACGTATAGTAATGACCATTGTGTGATTAGATAGATATGATTGAAATGCGCCCATGTTTAGAATATTTCAATATAATATGGTAAAATGTAATTCAATGAGTTAATAGTAAAGCGAGTTTGAATGGATATACTGCAATGGCAACTAACGTCAGGGTCATGGACGAGTTTTGACACTTTCTTGAATACTCGAAAGTTTTTGTGAACTCTACTCAATATTCTAAAACTATTTTGAAAATTTCAACAGACCCGTTAACTCTCTAATCAACTCTTAATATACATAACACTGCAGCAGGCGTGATAGAGATTCACTTATTTTACTTTTTTCTGATAATTTTATGTATGTTTTTAAATTTTACCTTTGAGGGTTTACTCATTTAACAATTACTAGGACAATAAGTTAATAGACATCTTTTCTTAGCCAGTCTGCCTTTGACTAAGTAATATTTAATTCGTATTAGTAAATGTATACATTTTATTATGCTCACTTTTTTCCACTTATTTGTGATTATTTCTTCTTTAATTCTCTTTCTTTAAAGTACAAGTCGTTATCTATTGGCTTAGTTTTGCTAAGAACGGGTGGAACAATTGATTGAAAACTGCTCAAAATATATTCTTTACCTTATAGTCGAGTACACCGTTGAAACGCTAGAGTTGCTTGTGTCTAATGAGCAGATACTTTTTCCTAGCTGATCATTAAAAAACGGGTTGGGCGTACGACGCTCGTGTAATTATAAATCGATTATTCGCAAACTTTACAGATTTTTTGTAATAACATTTTATTCATATTCAATATTTCTGTGTTAACAACTTTGCCGTAATTTAGTTGTTACATAGTTACTATTACTTTTCTGTGGTTATAAAATAAATATATCTTGTCCATACGTTGTTGGTGGGCATTTTACCAAAATGTGATTTGTATTTTGTTTATTAATCATGGGATTATACTTTTGACCCTTTTGTACGCGAAATGTTTAAATATCGGCTACTATTTTATACCTTGAACGTCAACGTGTCATTTATTATCATGCTAATTTTTTCGTCAGAATATATTTTAAGCAGTAAATATATTTATTCAGTAAGCTATCCAGTTTTATTTAGAATAACTGTTTATTTAAAACTTTTTTTTTTCTAATAAAGGTAATTTATTTAAATTTTATATTTCAGAATTATGTTCTGAATTATCGTTTTGAAATATCTTCACTAATATTACAGTGACAAATTAAATAAGAATAGTAACAGTTGCACCAAATGCTTATCCCAGACGCTTTTTTTTCATCTTCTATTTTTTAAGCACAGTAACGTTTGTTGATTAATGTGTTTTGGCACTTTTCAATTCACGAACAAATAGCTCTTTTTCCAAATCCGTATTAAGCAAAATTAAAAACTAAAGATAAAAGAAATGCTTAACAGATTTACCAAAGGAAATAATCTTGGTCGTACCTAAGTAAAAAATAATTATGATAGCCTCTGATTATCATTATACATAATGGATTTCAAGGCGAGATATTTTTTTGGATGTAAGTATGGTAACTATGGTTAAATTATATAAAAGATTATTCATTATCCGTAAAGTTAACCGAAAAACGACAGTGGTTAAGGATTGATTGACAAAAGTATTTTACCTATAGGTCTATTAAAAGAAACTATCAAAATGCACATTTTTTAATCTTACTGAAATTAAATTTGAAAAAAAACTTTTCTTCAACAGTTTTATCTCAATTAATATTGTCAGCTGTTAGAGTTTCGTGTTAGATTATCAAAAAACAGTATTATTAATTAATATTATCCAAAACCCATAAGTAAACGTCACTATACATTTTGGTTATTATTATTAATTAATTTAGCGTAAACAAATTTGTAAGTATAATATTTAATCATGTAGCTCATGAGATAGTTTCTTGACGAATTCTTTATCCAAGACGGGTCGTCAGTCCGCTGCCTAGAGTAATATTTTACTGTACAATATTGGGCACCTATTTGTTGTTATAATATGGTGTTCATTTTAGTTAACTGCTATATGAATAATTTAACTTTAAGCATTTTATAATAATACAATGGGTTTGACTTGTTTGACTAATGTTTGGAAACATTTACTTCACATGTAAAATATAAGTTTCCAGAAAACAACAGAGTCTATGTATATAATCATGAAATATGATAAGTATTTTTCTGTACAAAAGTCAAAGCATTTAAGTTTTTACTGATTTAAATTTATAATAAGCTAGAATAACCATTAATTTTAGGTTTATATTATCTAAAAACGTATTTTAAATATTAAATGTAATTTTAAAAATTGACATTTTTACCAAGAAATGTTCTCCTTGGACAACTTAACCTTGAAATTCTTACCAATACGTATATTTAATGGATACTATATTTGTAGTATAATATATATATATATATATATATATATATATATATATATATATATATATATATATATATAATATATGATAATACATAAAAGGTATAAGTTATTATTTGAATTTAAACATTGAAACGAGAAGAATTCTCCGATTATATTTGACGTTATGATAATATTTTAGGTTTTAAAGTAATTTAGATTAATTTTTCAAGCTTATTAATCTTTTCATAACTGTATAATAATTCAGTTATGAAAAGATTAATTTAATAAGAATCGACCAATAGTAAAGTAGATTATGCAAAAATAATTTTATATTATTTATTTTATAAAAATAATTCATTTATTTTTATGATTTGTTTTGTATATTTAAACATAACTAAGTTTCGGTAATTAAGTTTATTTTTAACTTCACATAAAAACTTTTATTTTTAAAATTCAACTACGAATATTTAGAATTACAATAGTATCAACAATGTTTTAATAGTAAAAATAATTATGTTGATTTAAAAATTAAAATTAAAATGTGCGTTTAATGAAATAAATTATTAAACAAATAAAAATAATAATAAATATTTAAAAAACTGTTTACATATACATTAATAGCAGAATATACTGTTGATCATTCAACAGCCTCATGTTGTAAAAAATAAGTTTAATGCTTATTGCTTCTTTATATTATACATAAATTTCTATTATCTATAATATATTGGTATTTTGTGATAGTAGTTTTACACACGCTATAAAAGTCTGTCCCAAAATGGTTTTTGCATTATTTGACTCATTAGTCACGTTCAGTTTTATTTAACTAATCTATTTTTTTTTTTTATAATAATTTATTGAAATAATTTTTCTAAAAATGTATTTTTATAGTGCTAAACGTTTTATTATTTCAGCGAAATGTTGCTATTCAATTTTTATTTACACACATATAAGATATTGTAGGAAACACATTTTTTTTTATCATTATAACTGATCGAATTTGCTTATTTTATAGAGGGACGATTTAAGACCATGGTTGAACAATTATTGCAAGAACGATGCGGTCGCCAGCTGTCAGCATGCATACGAATGAATAATAGATTGGCTGGAGCGGAGTTTGAACTAAACTGTGGCAAGAGACAGAGTTCTAAAAGATCTGCAGACCAAAGGGACAGAGGTCGTGTTACCGGAGTATTTGACAAAGAAGATACGGATTTGGATTTAGACCTGAAATACCATCTACAGACATGCACGTGCTCATGCAACCATATGGGATTTGGAAATTATATGGATTACTATCAGGTTAGTGCAGACTTGGTTTTAATACTTTATACCTAACATTCAGTCTCCACTTAAATCTATAAATAGTAGATATTTGTATATTGTCAATAATGGCGCTAAACATGTCGAGTGATCAAGTTTGGTGTACAAATAATGCCCATTGTATTACATTTATTCTATCATACTTACATATAATAAATATTTAACACGATTTTTCACGTTACTTAGTCCGGAATAGGAAATTGCAGGATCTATAATAGTTAGTAATAATTTTTACAATAAAATAGTTGACACTGTTACTTTTTTTGGAGCAAATTTACAATTTTAAAAGGTTAAAAAAAAAAAAATTCGATTAAAGGTTGTTATTTCATATGAAATGTAAATGCATTGTAAGAGAGGATGCCTCCGAACTCTTGATTTCTTTTCTCTTAAATTAAACAGTTAATGTAAAACCGTCATCATGTAAGAATTTGTTTTTTACAATTACTTTGGATAAAATATAGGCATCTGTAAAAGTATACAAATGCCGCACGCATTGTAAGAATACTTTGTTTTCTGGAATTTTGGCAATATACCAAAACTACTCGTTGTAATGAGTATTTATAAAAGAAAAAAAAGTCGTATGATATTATTATATGTGACTCGTAGCCCTAAAAAACATTAAATACGCAAGCACTTAAAACCCCTAAAATATGCAATAGAAACTTTTTTCTTGTAGATTAGTTAATAAATATGAATAAAATAAGTAGTTTGAAGAGTATATCCACTAGGGGTCTCAGTTATGGTGGAGGAACGCAAATAGAGTCGCTATGAGAGTATAAGTAGTTTAGTTTGAACTTGCACTGAGCTGTTCAGAATACTCGACTAGAATAATTTTATAGAGAAATTATGCTGAACGTTGTTAAGTCAAGATGTATGTATGATTTATAGTATTGCCTGGGGAATAATAAAATCATAACATATATCATAGGGGTACTTGTAAACGAATGGGGCAAATGTAAATTTATATTTTATTTTTTAGAAAGAACTAATATTCTAGTATTCTATTTAATATGTGGTATACTAACATATTTTTATTAAAAATATTGAATTAAATTGTCAATTACTTGAGTCAAAAATATTATTTATACCAATTTTTTACCCCACTGAATTCTAATAAAAAAGTAAAATTTTAGTACAGCGTTGCTAGAAAACATAACGAGCTTTTCAGTTTCTATTTGTATTCCTAAATGGAACACAGTCATGAAGTCATGTTATAACTCTTAACTAAAATGTTGCACAGACCAGATTCAACCGTGTAATGTATACAGCAAGAGTGTCGAATATGGATACTGTTTGTAGGTTTATAACATGAGCACGTGCGTATTTAAATTCAAAGTATTACACAGAATGGTTGACTGAGCAAACGGCTGGAAAGTCAACGGTATAAAATTATATAAAGGACCGTATGAAAAACCCTAGTACGTGACTCCGATTTTAATTAATTTTCGTGGACGCCAATGTGCTTAGTAGAGAATTTTCAATTTTGTACCTGTCATTTTGAAATATTTGCCTTGATGGAATGACGTTCGCTGGACATGTTTATCTCTTTTTGCCACAACGTATAAGCATCAAGAAGAATCCAACATATATTATTCCGTACGGTTGATTAATTTCTTTAAATACCAATTATATTGTCATTTAAATGGAGTACTTGACAATTCAGACACGTGCTTATAAAATGACACATACCTATGTGTATCTAAAGTGACCTAAGTTAAGACATTTTCGAGTTAGCACCATGGTAACAGATGGGTAACAATTCTCTAATAAAAATCATACTTTTAAATATTTATTTTCTGACACATGTTCAGTAATATAATTTTTTTATTAGAAAAATATGCAACTGTACAGTAAAAAATTAGTAAAATGAGCATATGGTAATACAATTAGAAAGATAAATTAGCTGTGTATGGCGTGTTTAAAGATACCACCCAATGATGGACCCCAGTGGCTGGAAGAGTCAGCAATATAATGAAAATATTTTCCAGATACCTGACTCATTTTTTGTTTTTTCCTAAGTAAAAAAAGTTACTGGACTACTTAATTAGTTCCAAATTTGTATGGCATATTTTTTTGTGTTTAAACATTTTTATATTCTATATAATAATATCTAAATTCTAAGTACGATGAAAAACTAAAATAATTATGTGAAAAATATTTACTTTATACGTTTTCTTTTAATTCCCTAATTCCTTTATCTCGAGTTTACAACACAATAAAGCCCTCTGGTCGCTTATACAAAACAATTAAACAGAGCAATATAATTTTACATAAATATACAAATACATTAATTACCAGCACCTTGTTAAATACCTAAATTATGTCTTGCATATAAATTAATTTGTAAGTTCAAATGTTTACTTTTTAGAAGTTTCACATCTGTAACTTATAATAGTACAAAACCCTCCATATTATAAAATTATAACCAAACTCTCCAGGTTTTCTTTTATTTAATTAACGACAAAGTATTTACTCTAACTTGGCAAGAGGCATTTTTAAATATTAAAAAATAATAGATTGATCGTTGAAAAATATGTACAAAATGTATGTATCTTCAGAGATATAGTGCCAATTACTTAAGCGTTAAGTTCTGTATAATATACATATACGTAAAATATGTTAATTTTAGGCGATACAAACATATGGTTAAACAACTTAATGGATGTATTCATTAAGTTCTCTGGTCTGACACAGTCATTGACGTTCCGGGAAACTAGGGGATACTGTTATCTACGTGCTGTTAAAGATCCTCATTCAAATATCTAAATAATATGTGAAATATATATTTAGTTATTTAAAAAAAAATAAGGTTGTTAATTCAAATGAAATGTTTATTAAAATAAAATTAGTTTTACGCATATTCTAAAATGTTTTTAAGTGTCCATCAATATAATATTATAATCGAAATAAAAATATTTTATACATATATTCATGTTGCACGATTAGCAATGTATTAAATTATACTAGTCCTTTTTTTTTTCTTGAATTTTTAAATATTTGATAATTTTTTATTTTTTATTAATTAAAACTAAAATTTTCAGCATATTACATGCGATTACAAGTTTTTGATAATTTTTAAATGTTGAACAGTTTTTTTTATCAATTTTATATTTATAGTCAGCAATAAATCGTATCTTTTATGTTTATGCCACATATCTCTTCAAATGTAATTTTGCCATGCATTTCTTTGTCAACATTATAATTTATCATTTATTTCCATCAGTATTTAAATAATGTAGAAGTAGATTTGGTGTGGGAAATGCACTGTCAACTGTAATGTGCCAACATGATCTGATGTTACTGATTTTCTAATGAAAAAAACCTGTTCATAAATATCAATTATCTATGTACTTCATAACGATATTATAATGAATTTATTTATTATCTTGATATGAATTTTTTAGGAATTGACTGGTCACAATCTATTAAGAAGTACGTTTTTCCTGCAAATCTTTCTAGTTTCGAACTCGGAATATTAATCGAGTTAAATTAATGTCAAATATAACAATTAATAATGTAAAATGTATTAGGTATACATAGGAATTACATACTTTTGGCTAATGTATCGTCATTAGAGTTTAAAAAAAGCCTTTAAGGAGAATTTTCACGACATGTTGGTGAAGTAATAAGAATGAAGTGCTAAGTCCTTTTAAATTTTTTTTTTGAGACAGTTCTATAATAAATTGTGTTTTCTTATTTCAAAATGTCGCAACGCGTAATGGAACCATTTCCAGCTTATAGTTTAACATTAGCACGTTCATAATAATCTAGAGTTTTATAGCCTTAATAGTGTTCAAATGTGAAAAGTAAATAAACCCAGAAATATGCTTTCTCGTATTTTTAAATTTATTTATTTATTGTTTTTTTTTAAATTTATATCAGCTGAAGACGTACGACATAGCGTCCCATAGACCATTCTACTCAAGAGAAAATTTAGTATTTTATGTACTTCAAGTTTCAACATAATTTTACACTGTACGACTAGGATGTAGATAGAAAATATACCATCAAAGCGTTTAAAAACACTCTGGAGTTTAAAAAAAGTGTAACTATTTTCAAGATATTGCCTGTGATCGATGTACAAATAAATATTTTACAATGATTTTTAACTAGAATTTATGCTAGAAAGGCATATAGAAAATTGTGGTCTAGCAAAGCGATGGCATGCGTCACGTTGGTTTACTGAATAACAAAAAAAAAAAACAAAAAGAAACTGTGATAAATGCTTTTCTTAGACCCAACAATAAAATCTGGTCACGCTTGCTCTGGTGTCTTGTACCTACTTTTGACGCGAAAAATAAAAATAAAGACATGTAAAAAAAATTCCTCCGAGACAAGTTAATGACATGGTTTTTTTGGGGTGGATAGGAGGACATCAAGTCCTGGTAAACACGTACTTGCGTAATATTTTTGATGATGGAATTTTGGTTTTTGACATTTGTTCAGAAAAATACTAGGGTGACGTTTGCGCTCGTGCTCTGAATTATTTCAATGCTCGAGATGCAACGATATACATGCCATCACACCGTCACCTAATGTCAACGTCAAAAAGTTTTTTAGATATTTAAAGTTCGCAGAATTTCTTAAAGATTTTAAAATGCGTGTCTTTAAAATTGTAATATTATGTCAGATAACGTGGCATAACGCTTATATTAACAGCTTTTATGATGTAATCGCGTGCCCGTCCCACATAAACTCTCCTACATTATTTAAGGAGGCGTTAATATTTATTTATACGGTATTAAAAAAAATAACGTCAATTTTATTTTAATATCTTCACAGCTTTATTAGTGATAATAATATGATAATATGATCATAAATATTATTGCCGCTGTGTCAAGTATTAGCAATTTTATACATTTCATACATAGTGATGGTATTAAAATTGTATACAAAGGAAAAAACATTGGAACTAATACATACTAAAACAAACCATTGTATAATTAAGACCTTTTCTGCTAAAATTAAAAGTATAATAT